GACCATAATTTTGACAGTTCCCCCCTATCCGTTACTAGCAACCAGTGAGGTGAAGGCTGTTGAACATATCTTAAACAAACCCACGGAGCCGCGGCAATCTGGCAAAAGCTTTGGCCTTGGGAGCTTCCCTATGTATGTGGCAGCTTCCAGGGGTCATGCCGACGTGGTGCGTTTGCTGTTGGAGGCCCAGGCAGATGTGAATCATCGCAAAAGCCTCGATGGTATGTATTTGAACTCTCCCTTAGCCGCTGCTGCTCACAGAGGACATGTCGAAGTTGCCCGTGTGCTGCTGAAAGCTGGTGCTGGCCAGGGTCCCGATAGAGTTGATGAACTAAATGACCTCCTCATGTCGGTATGTGCAATTGGACATGTTGAGCTCGTTCCGTTGCTGTTGGAGCATGGTGCTTCTGCCAATGGCTCAGAAAATCCGTGGACCGGGATGGTAACCAGCACTCCCCTCAGTTTGGCCACCAAATACGGAAATGCAGAAGTTGCACGCTTGCTGGTTGGGGCCGGCGCCGTGCAAGACTAGGCCACAAGAGTCTGTCAAGGAGGCGCGCTGTCGCGCAAAGGACGCAGCAAGAGCTCTGCCGATCAAAATCTGCCAGAGGAGCAAGAGTTCCACCTTGGCCTGGGTAATCCCTTCCCGCTAATATGAAGCCCCCCCCACACCCATGATATTAGATATTCCCAGTATAATATGATATACCACAAAGGGGAGTATTTGATATTAAGTGGAAGCCTGAACAGTTATGAGTAGCAGCCCTGTAGACTCGGAAACTCTCTCACATGCCACAGAAAGTGTTCCCCCAAATCTTGTTTGAGTACTGCATCTGGGCACCTACACACTTTTGGAACAGGGCTTGGAGAGAGCTATGTGGGCTGTAGTCTAAACTCCTTCAAGAGGCTTATATTGGGAATTCTATAGGTGAGTACTGTAGGGCTTATTAACGGGGATACGAGGAGTTTAGACTACAGCTCATGTGGCTATAGGGCTCGCAACCTGAAGGGGAAGTTGAGTGAACACCAAGAGCATTTGTGCCAGAATCTCTGTATCATCCCGCTTTCCACGTACTTTTCCATCTCTGTTCGATTTGTTTCTCCACTATTGGGTCATATTCCCAAATGTGGTACTTTTCAGTTCATGTAAACCTCAGCATTTGCACCATTGTGTGGGACATTTGGGTGCTGACACATGCTGTAGGACGTAGTGCAGAGATTGGGCTCTGTGCTTGGCAAGACACGCCCTGGAACTCCAGATCTGATTGGCTTTCTAGGGAGGCTGCACATTTATTTGGCAGGGAACATGTTGGTTGACTCCAATTCCTGGAGGTATAGAAGTCCAACTGAAGCAGCAAAAGCAGGACTTGGCCCTGATGAATTCCGTTTCCCGGCGCATCAGAACACGGTTACTTCTCTAAACAGTGGTGCGCCCTGAACTGCAGTAGAACCCTTGTTAGAGGGACCTCGCAAGAAAGGCCCATGCTTGTATACTTCTAGAACCCAGTGAAGCTACACAGAATCCAGTGCAGTAGTACACGCTGCAGTGCCCAAGCACAAGAGCAGGCCTCCGATGGCACCCATTTCTGCAGATCGCAGCTCAACATGGCTACGCGCGCGACGCTCAGAGTGAGGGTCCGGGGTTGTTTCGGGCTGGTTCCCGGCCTGAAGCAGGGTTGTGAGAGGTGTATTACTACATACACTGTCAGGTTAGCAAGGTGGCGACCAAAACCTAATCCATATAGCACTATATACTCCGACAGTTCCAATATGATAGAACCCGTATGAGGTAAATCTAATGACCCCGAGCAACCGGATAGTCATCCCTGAGCCCGAAGGCCTAAATCAAAGCGTACACCCTAGGAACCTTAAGCCCTAAACCCCAAACCCTCAATTGAAGCGTAGCGTCCTCCTCCTCGACTCTTTGTTCTACCGCTACTACTTCTACCTTTTCCTCCTACTACTACTACTACTACTGCTACTCCCATTACTGCTATTACTACACACACAGCAGTACTCTTGACTAGTGAGCTAACGAGCATCACCCAGGTCGTGGAAGAGCTTGCAAGTCGAAGCCTCTCTGTCAGCGAGTTGCCGGGTTGCTGTTGGGGAACTTAATTTAGATTTCTTTCATGGGTGTATATATATATGGGTGTATAGGGTATATAGGGTATATAGGGTTTAGGGTTAGCATAATGGGTATATATAGTAAACATTATTAACTTCCCCCAAAATAGCAATTTAAATTGAATTCCTACAATGGGTATATATATATATAGTAAATAATGGGGTTTCCCCAATATAGTAGCTTAACTTAAGTTCCGTAAATCCCCATATTCCCCCAGTTTCCATTGTCTTTTCCATTTGCCTCTCCATTATAGGGGGGGATAATGTAGCCTAAATGTTGTTCCTTAGTAGAAACCCAGGTTGGTGGACTTCTACGGACAGCTCGGTCCTGGTGGAGACGCCATGCCGTTACTTGGCTGTTTGGTAGTTGCCCAGAATAGGAGGTTTTGCCTTTGGCTGCAGGGTTTTTTCAAATCATCCTAGTATAATCATTACTCTGGACCCCATAGTCCCATAGGGTCGCCAAAGGTTTGGCTTTTTTTGAAAAACCCCAATACGTCGTTTAGGCTCATCTTTCTCTTGCGCATGTGTTCAAACTACTGTCTGGATTTTGTATACTTGCCCTTCAAGTTTCAGGTGTGTAGGACATAGGGTCAACCAATGAAAGCTGCACCTGGGCACGCTTAGCTTCGTATGGCAGTCTCTCCTATAATCTCTTTGATATGGACACGGGCGCCCTTTTTTGTGAGCAGCTAACATTTTGAGGCACTTCTGCCCCAGTGTGTCAACAACTGCAGACGTGGTTCGGCAGGCAAGAAACCCTGAACCCTAAAACCCAGC